ACAAACCTGGGATACTCAGGATTGACTCTAGTTCGGGAATGAAGCCGGAAGCTGCAGGACTGTGAGCATCTAACATGCTGTCCAAAGACTGCTGAGAGCAGCAGGTTGCTCCCAGATCAAAGCTACTCCCTGTGTCCCAGGTGATAATGGTGCATCACCACCATGGCCCGAGACCCCCTTGGCCCAAAGTGCTGGGGCAAGCTTACAGCATGCCCCATTTAGCTGCTGGGCTCAGGATGAGCAAGGGTCCCAACTAGACAGCCAGCATCCTGAGTAGGAGACAGGCACCAGAGGGGTTGTGGGGACATGGTCTCAGGGCCCTCCTGCAGAGCAGCCCTGGGACCCCCTCTTGGTACCCAGCCGCTCACCAGGTCAGAGCCAGGCTGGGTACCAGGGATGGGGATGGGTGCAGAGGAGCTGCGTTCCTACCAGTGTAGCCGATGGCAGTCTGAGAGGAGGTGCGATGAGGCCCAGCCTGAGAAATGATCTCCACACGGTATCGGGACCCTGGCACCAGCCCCTCCAGGTCAAGCTGGGTGACTCCACGGGGGACAGACACATTCCTTATGATGGACAGGGACTCAGCCACCGAGAGCTGTACCAAGTGATCTCTGCCACCGCCTGACTCCACCCAGCTCACATGTAGCTCCTGAGGTCTCCGGCCAGGCTGTACACTCACGTTAGCCAGAGACAGTGGATCTAGGGGGAAACAGCATGGAGATACATGAGATGGTGGAGGAAAGCAACTGAAGAAGCCAGGAGACAGCCTGCACCTCTGCACAGGGCTAAAGGAGAAGTTGTGGCCACTGACTGCCAGCTCTGCTGTTGTCCTGGAGGGCATGCAAATTGCCTGCCCATATTCCCAAGGTGCCGCCAGCAGGCAGGTGCTATACTGAGAAGGGAGCAGTCAGGGGAGCAGTCAGCTCCCCAGTGGGCTGCTCTGCTCCATGGACAGGGAGCAGCAAGCCCATACAGGTCTCTGTGCATCCTCTCTCGCACCCCTGTCCCACCAGTCCCAGGCTGGCCTTGAGATCATGAGTGGTCTAGGCAGAAGGTTCAGCCTGACCGGGGACAGCCTGAGCTGGGGAAAAGGGTCTTTTGGGGATCAGAAGCCAGCACACAGCACCTAACTCATGACACGCTCTGATTTCCAGGGGCAGGTCTCACTGCAGCCCTCCCTCTGCCTGGACATGTCCATGCCATGTCCGTGTCCAGTCTTGCAGGCAGTGCCAGGATGACCCATCCCTGCAGGAGGCTGGGGACACTTCTCACTCACATGTCCACTCAGTGGCAAAGTGTGACGAGGATCTGTATGGACCAGCGAGGACGGTCACCTTCAGGAAGTACTGAATGCCAGGGGACAGCCCCAGGAATGTGAAGTTGTGGGTGTTTGGGCCCACCGAGATGTTCCTCTGTGCTGGATGGCTCTTGCTGTAGAGCTGGAGGTGGAACTGGTCCACATCACCAGCAGCCTTGTCCCAGAAGGCAGAGAGTCCCAGCGGGCGTCGGGTGTTGGTCAGGGTGACACCAGCTGGAGCCAGGGGGTCTGAGAGAGAAGAGACATTTAAGTGGTGAGAGGCAGTCATGGTGGAACTGCTTCAGTGTGGAGTAGGGGCCTGCATGCACTTGTCCTGGGCACCCTTCACTGCTTGTCCCTCGTGGGCTCAGGTCAGAAATGGGCTGTGGCATATCAAACCACAGAACAGCCTGAGCTTCTACTCAGCAACAAACTTTGGAGCAGGTCTCCAGCTTTCCTGCTGGGTGACATTCGGAGATGTTTCCTATTCAGTGATGTGTTTCTCTGGCACTGCAGACCCTTTTACTTCCAACCTGGCCGAATGTGGCTCTCCTTCCACTCTTTGCCTGTCTATGCATCCCTGACCCTGGTTCCCCTGCACCCACATACATGGTCCACACCCTCCCTTGCTTCCACGCCATGAGCTTTCTGGTCTCATCAGCAGGCCATGGTTGCAATTTGCAGTAGGGTTGAGGTAGGGGTATCACACTCACATGTCCAGTCTGTGGCTGATCGCACAGGGGATCTGTAAGGTCCAGCCATAGCAGCCACCTCCAGTGTATACTGTCGCCCGGGGACCAGGTCCTCAAAGGTAACATTCATCCAGTTGTTCCCCATAGTCATGTTCCTGACCTGCTCCCCGGACTTGGTTTCCCAGAGGGTGCCTGTGTAGCCAGTGCTGCCAGTGAAAGCAGCTCTCCAGGAGGCTTGCAGAGACGTGCTGCGGCCCTGATTGCTGAGGGTCAGATGCTCCAGGGGCAAAGGGTCTAGGAAAGGAAAGGTCTAGAGTCACAGCTACACCTGGACTGGGGTCACCTGGCAGAAGTGCAACCCCAAATGTGCTGGGACTGGAGCCCCTTCCCTGTGAAAACCCACATCCAGGTGCTCTGGTCACCGGCAGGATCTGAGCAGGCCACCATCCTCCCTGCTGACAGACACACACCAGTTTGGCAGGGACTGGGCCAGCTCAGACTTCAAACTGGCATGGTAAGAGAGGACTGCTGTAGTGCTGGAGGAGTTGGTGAGTGGGATGGTCTGGACCAGGGTGGTGGAGAGGTGGTTCAGGGCAGATGAAGCCTGAGCAGCGCAACAGAAGGGTGGCCTGGGCGAGGAGGAGGAGGGCACTGGGCTCTGCTGACCCTTGTGCTGGGCGACTGGGATACGAGCCAGGGTCAGACACATCCAGCAGTACCTTTGTTTTCCTCTTGAGCCTTCATCCCTTTTATTGCATGAAGCTGCAGAAGACCCACACTATCACATGCCCTGGGGCATGACATCGTGGAGAAGGACAAGGTCCAGTGGGAACCCTGGGCTGTGGTGAGGGCTGTGGCACTCACATGTCCAGTTGGTGATGCGCTGGGGTGAGGATGTGTAGGGGCCAGCCACGGTGCTGACCTCAAAGGTGTAGAGAGTCCCAGGGCGGAGGCCCTCATAGGTGAAGTTGGTGACATCTCTGAGCAGCGAGCGGTTCTTCATGGGGTACTCCATGGGGCTGAGGGCCAGCATGTAGCCCTCTCCCACTGCCTCCTCCCAGCTAGCTAGCAGGCTGTAGGGGCTCCCCTGGCTGGACAGACTCACACCAGATGGTGCTAGCGGCTCTGCAAGGGATAAGGATGGGATTGTGCATGTCACTGCGTGGGGCAGTGCATTAGGCAGCCAGGCTGCTCTCGTGACACTCTGCAGTGTTCCCCCACCAAACGTGGACAGCCAGGGCTGTAGGGAGAGCCTTTTACTGCTCCCAGCACCAGGGGCTGGGTGAGTGCCTCCCCACACTGTTTAAGGCTCCAGTCCTTCCCTCCCGCGGTGGTAGCTCTGGGGTGGCTGTCTGCGCACCCACTGCAGCTCCACAAGTTGCTAAGGAGGAACTGGGCACAGGAAGACGTTGCTCTGGAGAGACTGGTGGTGCTTCACTACCCAACCAGCCGTGGTAAGCAGAGGGAGGGGAAGCTGTCTTGAAGCCTGCCGAACACCGAGTCCAAAGGTTACTGAGTAGGATCTGGTCTTGATTGGTGCCTGACACTACCCGGCACAAGTCTGCCAAGGACCTCTGAGTCCGCCCTCACGAGGAGCTGTGGGGCAGCAGATTTTGCTGCTCTGACCCACAGCCTGCCCTTGAGACCAGGCGCCACTGCACTGCACAGCTCCATCTCTGCCTCTGCTGCAGTCCCCCTCCCTGTCCCACCAGCCTCCCTCCGGGTATCAGCCCCTCCATCAGGCAGCAGAAATGGCCTTGAAAGGACATGCTTGGGCTTTCAGCTTACGTGTCCATGCTGCTGTGCTGCGGGCTGATGCTCGGTAAGGCCCAGCCACCGCCGTCACCTGGACAGAGTATTGCTTTCCAGGGCTCAGCCCGTGAAAGGTGACGTGACCGTTGTCTCCGCCGACAGAGATGTTCCTCGTCGGAGCACCGTCCTCTCCCTCCTGCAGAGTCACCAGGTAGAAGTCCCTCTCTCCTACTGGGGTGCTCCAGCGAGCCTGCAAGGAGTTCTGCTCCTCTGCAGCACTCAGAGTCACATTGCCAGGGCTCAGGGGGTCTGGAAGGGAAGGGAACGGGATTATGTGCATCAGGATTATGGGGTGCTCTGGACCCCATACACTCCTGAGCCTCATTCCCTGCTTCCTTATCTGCAGGGTCACATCCAGCCTTAGACATCTTTTTGGACCGTGCTGTCTCCATTTCCCAGCACAACCATTCCTTGTCCATCAGAGCCCAGATGAAGCTGGCAGCCTTGCTGGGAAATTCCTAAAAGTCCCTCTCCTCTCCATTTGTGTCCCATCATGAGCTTGCTGATATTCCCAGGAACTGGCCTGGACCGAACTCCTGGCTGGACGCCCCTGGCTCGTGCGTCTGGCACCAGGGACTTTTGTTTAGTCGAGTAGGTCAGAGCTTCAGACAGCAACGGCAGGGATAGTCAGACTCGCTTCAAAGCAGAAACAAACCAGCTGGGGGTGTGGAGGTCTTCCAAAATCCCAGCTGCAGACTCAGCAGTGAGCAGGCTCCAGTTTCCCAGACTGGCAGGTGGAGCAGTGAAGAGCTGGAGACTCGTCAGCTGGTGGCACCCAGGTCCTTCCAGCGTACGCCTGACCAGTGTCTCTGCCCACGGCCAGGAGAAGTCACTGGACACAACAGCCCTGAGTTTGCAGCTTCGCACCTCCATAATTTGTTGCTCCTCACTAGAGAGGGCCAATGCTTTCTTGGCATTTGGCATGAGTCTTGCTCTGTCCTGGAGGCTAGGCTTGCCCTCTCCATTTCCCCTCTAGTTTTCCTGGGAACATTTGGGAGGTTAAGTCGAGGGTCAGAACTATTTGCAGTGCTACGTACATGGTGGCAGCAAACCAGGACTGTGGTGGTGGAAGTCACCTGTTCTCAGGACCTGTCAGCCTAAGGCCAGAAGGTGGAGGAAGTTGGATTGAATGGTGCAACTAGCTGGGGTCTGGGAGGTCTACCTCAACTTCTTGACCTGCTGACTTCCTTGGCTATGTTTGCACAGCACCCAGGACATTAGGGACATCCACCAGGATGCTACCAAAATCAGGTGCTACCAAAATATACCCTTCACAGCAATCAAAGGGGACCAAAGTTCCATTTCCCTCCAGGAACCTCCAGTTCAAACTAGCTAACTGCTATCCCCTTGTCCCCTGTTTTCTCTGCTGCCCTTGGACAGGCCTGAGGCACGCGAGAGCCCAGCCCCAGCTGCACTGAGCACCAGTGGGATCTGTTACCCTTCCATCCTCCTCCTCAGGGAGAGGCCACAGGCTGATCCCAGTGCACCCCGTGGAGAAGCAGGATGGCACTGGGAACTCACCTGCCCAGGGGACTCACTGGCCCCACTATCACAGTGCCCCAGAGCTGCGTCCTGGAGCAGCTTTTGGCCAGGTCCAAGCAGAAGAATTGCCCTTTGTACCCGGGGCTCTGGCAAGAGACCTCTGGATTCAGAGGCTGGACCAGAGGCAGGGAGGAAGCCAGGGCCACCAAGGTCCTCCCCCATCCCTGGCCATCATACTCACATGTCCAAGCGGTGGCATTGGGTCCCCCTACGGTGTAGGGCCCAGCCGTGGCACTCAGTCCCAACCAGTACTGGGTGCCAGGGTGGAGATGCTGGAAGGTGTAGCTGGTGAGGCCCCTCCTGGCTGACAGGGTCGTGGTCACCGTCTGGGTGAGGAGGTTGTGGAGTGTAAGGTGCAGCCAGGCAGCCCCCCCAGCGCCTGCCCAGGAGGCAATGAGGCTGGTGCTGGAGCCCGGGCTGAGCCTCAGCTCGGTGGGGATGGAAGGAGCTGCGGGGAAAAGCAGGAGGGAGCGAGGCTCAGTGCTGGGGCTGAGGCTCCCTGGACCCTCCTGTCTCCCCAGGGTCTCCTACACCCACAGTTGCTCTCTATGCTGGCATGAGGGCTGAAGGTCTGGCAACAGTCTGCTGAGGGGTGTCTCTCCCATGTCTCTTCCCAGGCAGGCTGAGGGGCTCTTGAGGTCCCTCCATACTGTCACCTTTCAGGCTGCAGGGCAGAGGGGGTGGCAGCCTGGGTAATGCAACATTTCTGCAGCTCCCACCAGCCAAGATCTTTTGTCAAGATCCCCAGATTGCCCTTCTCCCATGTGGACATGGAGCACCCAAACCCAAGCTGCAGGTCTTGCAAGGCAGGACTGAGGTGTGAGGATGTCCCTATGGCCAAGCACGCTGGGTTCACAGCAGGGATGTGAAAAACTCCCAGCTGTTCCCCATCCTACGTAACCTCCCCATCCCAGGCCTGGAGACCTCCTCCTCTCTGCCAGCCCAGTCGGCACATGTGCTTCACCCCTCCTGCCAAACCTTTTCTCCCACCTCTTCCGTCTTGGCCAGGCACACCCATCACTCCCTACCTGTCCACTGGTGGATACTGGTGCTCGCCTGGCTGGATCCAGACAGCGTGCTGACCTTCAAGGCGTACTCGCTGCCAGCCAGCAACCCGTCAAACAGGAAGGTGGAGGCGTTTGGCAGGATGGACACATTTCTCACAAGCGTCTGGGAGTCGCTGTGGTAGAGGGCAAGGTCGTAGCAGTCTCGCTGCCCATGGGCGTGCGCCCAGGAGGCATGCAGCATGGCAGAGCTCCCCCCGCTGCTCAGGCTCAGGTTGCGGACAGGTGAAGGACCTGCATTGGACATGGCACAGACAATGTTGGCTGGTTGCCGTGGGGTGCCTGACCTACCAGGTTGCTGAAGGGCGGCTGGTGGGACAGTGCCTTCACCTGGTGAGGTCCTGCCAGCTAACTCCACAGGATCCAATTCCCCAAGCAGAGCCACATTACCTCCCTGCCAGCTCACCAGTCTCCCCAGGGTTGTGTGGGCTGCACCATCCCCTTTGGATCAGCCTCTGCACAGTCACTCTGAACTGGGCAGGGAGACTTGGTCAGGGACAGCACACCAGGTGTGCACTGAGAAAGGCGAAGACATCAGCGCTTACCTGTGAGCTCACTTGCTGCCAGGTCCTCTGTTCCTGCTGGCCTTGTGGGTCCTGACACCTGACTTCCCATGAGCACCAGACCCTGCTCCTTGCAGCCACCACTGCTGTCTGACACCCTCCCTTCTGCTGGCCAACCCCCTCCCTCCAACTCTACTCTCCTTTTCTAGGTTTTCCAACTTCACCTGCACTGATTTACACAAGGATCTTCTGGAGAGATGCAGGCAAGGGCTGCCATCCTCACCTGAGCTGTGGGCTTACCAGCCCTGCACCCTTTCCCCAGTCCTTGGCATCAGCCAGGGACAGCATAGAGCAAGGCTTGGTGGGTAAGCCAGTGACTGACAGAGATGTGCCAAAATCATGGAGCAGATGCTACTTCCTTGTCACTCTTTCTAGACCTCCAGGCATGACATTTTCCACCCCTCAGCTCTCTGCAGCACACATCATAGGTTGGTCCATCATTAGCTATATTATTCCAGGAGAAGATATAGCATGAACCCTGCCCATGCAAGGTGCAGGGACAGGACCCTCCCTCCACATGGATGAGGGAATGACCCTCTGGGGACCAGGGAAGGACCCTAATCCTTGTGGAAGTGAAGAAAGGCCCGACCTCTCCATGAACTCATGGGATTCCACACAGACCTGTACTTCCCAACCTCCAAAGCAGTATGACGATCATTGGTAGGAGCACTGAGAGCCTTTGACACTGCAGTCCCTGGGGAAGCACTTACTTGTCTGTGCTGTGACTGTCTGCCTGGTGGTCTCCATACAGGCAAGCGTGGCCGTCACCTCAACCTCATAGTGCATGCCAGGGGTCAGCCCATGGAACCAGAAGCTGGTGATGTTGGGTCCAGCAGATCCATTCTGCAGCAGCGTGCCTGACCCCAGGGAGGAGAGGGCGAGCGAATATCCCTCAGCACCCCCCTCCGGCTCATCCCAGGACAGAAGGAGGGAGTCCGACCGGCCATGGTCACTCACACTGAGGTTCAGGACGGTCCCTGCAGAGGCAAAGCCAAAAGACTCAAGAGGTTGGTATGATGTTGCTGGGTGGCCAGTCTGCAGGGACAGGCTCCCCAGCGCAGCCACCCTTGCTGCACACCTTGGCACAGGCCACCACCATGGGCACTGCTACACTTTGGTCAGGCCCCAAAACCCGAGGGCTCTGAACTGCCTTTGGAAAACACAAGAAAGATCAGAAAACCCCACGGACTGAGGTCAAAGGCACCATGTGAAAGAGATGCTCCAAAACATGGAGCATCTCCTCCATTGGAGAAAGACCAGAAGGCTTCAGGCCATCACATGCTTTGTCCAGACAGCCCTGGTTTATAGCAGAAAAGTTGCCCTGGCTGGGTATAATCCATTGCTCACCACCTTGGTTGGTTTGAGCCCTGGTTTGTTCGATGAACCTTGGTTTGTTCGATGGAATCATCGAACCACAGAATTGTCTAGGTTGGAAGGGCCCTTTAAGACCATCAAGTCGAACCATCAACCTAACGCTGCCAAAACCACCTCTAAACCATGTCCCTCAGCACCACATCTACCCATCTTTTAAATACCTCCAGGGATAGTAATGCCACTGCCCCCCTGGGCAGCCTGTTCCAGTGCTTGACAACTTTTTCAGTGAAGAAATTTTTCCTAATATCCAATCTAAACCCACCTTGGCATAACTTGAGGGCGTTTCCTCTTGTCCTATCACTTCTTACTATGGAGAAGACATTGACCACCACCTCTCTACAACCTCCTTTCAGGTAGCTGTAGAGAGCAATAAGGTCTCCCCTCAGCTTCCTTTTGTCCAGACTAAACAACCCCAGGTCCCTCAGTCACTCCTCGTAGGACTTATTCTCCAGACCCCTCACCACCTTTGTTGCCCTTTTCTGGACACACTTCAGCACCTCTTTGTCTTTCTTGTAGCGAAGGGCCCAAAACTGAACACAAATGTTGGTGGGCTCTGGGTCCACTTTGCAGAAGCAGGACAACGGGAGCAGGATGGATATGGCAGTGGGGCTGTTTCGCTCCCTGCAACAGTCGCTGTCTCTGTGTGGGCTCTGACAGAGGAGAGGGTAAAGGCTGCTTTGGAGGGGTCCAGGCACTGCCTCCCACTGTCCTGCCCAGTGCACAGATGACATGGGAGGAGCAGGACACTGCATACGTGGAGGAAGTATGGGGCCACACTGGCACAGCCCCTGCTGAGGTGTGTCCCTGCTTTGGCCTTGCTGCAGCAGCAAGGTCAGCAAGCTGCGGCTGCAGGGCCGGTGCGGTGGCATCCAGATGGAGAGCGTCTGGGGACAAGGAAGCGGCATACGGGGCTTGGCCTAATTGGTGGGTCAGTGGCCAAAACTGCTATTGAATCCCTGCCCTTAGAGTTGCTCAGGGACCACCTACACAAACAGGAGCCAAACAGAGCCTGTCTGTTGGGAGCAAGCTGGCAACATGACCCTTGCAGGCTCCGTCTCTGCCTCCCCATGCCTCCACTAGCAGATCGTCATGCACTCCCCGTCCCCAGCCTTGCTGTGAAGGATGAGCTCTCTATTGCCTCCAGCCTTTGAGAAACACCAGAGCAGCTCTAGTGATAATAAGACATTTGTGTAATAATTAGCACTTGAAATTTATGATGTGCAACACGTTGTAACAGGCTTACATGTGATCTGGCATGGCAAGAAAGCTTTAAACAAGCACAGCTCATGCCCCAGAGGTCTGCCTGGGGGCTGCCTTTACACAGCAAAAAAGGAGCAGTGTCTGGCGAGCCCCAGGGCCAGGGGCACCTTTGGGACCGCTCAGGTGTTGCGTGTCACCTTCCCACAAAGCTGGACAATTTCAGAACTTGATGCAACTTCTGTTACATGCCATGCCGTTGTTTGGAGCCTGCTGCCATGCTGAGAACTTCACTCAGCAGGTGAGTGCAAAGGGAATTGGGGAAGTTCGATGGACACAAAAGAGGAGCCTTTCCCCCTGGAAAAGGCCTTCTCAGTGACATTCCCGAGCAGTTCAAGGGCAGATTTGGGAACAGACTGCTCAGGAAGGGTTATCTGAATGTAGCTGGGTGTCCACAGGTCAGGTCTCTACACCTGGGCCAGCTGCCCTGGGCTCCCCTTGCTGTCAGCAGAGACCTGGTGGCAGTAGCTCCTGGTGCACGGGACCTGGCTAATCTCCTCCTGAAGAGAGTCAGCGGGATTGTGCCCTGTGTGGAGTTCAAATAAGGACGGTTTTTCACCATCTATTTCTTATCTCATGAAGGCATGAGTTCTCCACCCATGTTTGTCTGCTTCTCTCAGGTTTCCAACAGACTGCACTGCCTGCCTCCATCTGTCACTTGGCAATCACCTTCTTCACCTCTGCAGTACAAATGTACCAATACCTAAAATGGGCCAGAGGCATCCTCCAGCCCTGAGGCCCATGATCACAATGCTGCTTATGTCTCCATAGATAAGCTCTGCTAACCACATCACAGACAGCCACATCCAGGTACACCCCATGCCCCGACTGAAGTCTGCAGATCATCTGGGAGAGTTTTCACTGGCACGGGCCAGCACTGCGTGGGCACCGCACTGGCTACAAGCCCCATGGAGCATGATCCTGCCCAGCCAACTGCAGGTGCTCCATGCAGAGCTCCTGTGTCTGTGCTGCTGCTGAGCCCATGTGATGTTCCGTGGAAGGAGAGAGCTTGGAGCCTTGTTTGTCTCTCACACTGTCCCCATAAGGCTGGTTACTGGACGAGGATGGGACTGACCCCCTTCCCTTCCCTGGCCATGACCTGCAGCCTGCAGTAAGTCTAAAGCAGAGTATTTACAAAACCACTCTTAACTCCGAGCGTCCCGGCCCAGCACATCTGCTCACCTCACCATTCCTGGGAACCAAGACCACCCTCCACAGCCTGGGAACCATTTTGCTTTGACTTACCTCTATCAATGGGTGCCTCCTGTCCCTCCAACCCTGCCCGTGCTGTCCGGTTACATCCCTCGCCCTGGGGGATTGAAGGTGTCAAGTGAGAGAGGGGCAAGGTGAAGTGGTCTGAGCTGAGACCAACGCCTGTGAGAGGTGCCCTGTGCAGGGCAGGGTCAGGCTGGCCAGGCACAAGTCCCAGCCTGCCATGACATCTGGGGGCTGCAACCCTCTGGGGACTGTGACCCCTTTTCCCAGAAGACCCCAGATGACTGCTCACATCGCCCTCCCCTAGCCAAGACAGAGACACAGACTCGGCAGATATAGCTTGTGGGCTGCCCTGGCCTTTTGCATGGGTCAGGACTGCAGACCAACATGGGGCCATGACCACAGGGGTGGACATCCCACCAAAAAAGCCAGGGCACAAGGGGAAGATGTGGGCAGGGAGGGAGCTCTGCACAGGCCCTGGCAATCTCTACAGGCTCCCCCCCTTCCCACGATCATGGAGGGGGAGCATGGAAGGACCCCAGACCTCCGTCCAGCTGCCATCCCCCACAGGCTGCAAAGCGAGGGCTTGGCCTGAGAGCTCCAGAGCTTCCAGCACCCTCCACACCACAGCGGGTGCTGAGCACGCTCGCGGGATGCCCGTCTCCCCACAGTCTGCTCGCGAGCAGGGTGTGCCCTGCTTAGGTTGAGGTTAGTTCCCTCCACATTAAAGGAAATGTCTCTGCCCACTCCCCGTCCCGCAACAAGCCACAGAGGAGCAGTCATCTTTCTTTAGTTATTTCCCCCTTGGCTCTGCTGGCTGACTCATTTCTGGCTCCCCCACTGACTGCAGTGCTTTTGGGAGTGTGCATGCGGAGGGGAGTGAAGGGGCTCCGGACCTCTGGGAACAGCAGCCAGCCCATTCCCGGGGCGAGGAGCCGTGCCGGCATGGGCGC